TGCGCATTTAACACCAGCAAGAATTTTATTATCTTGTTCCAGCAGTCAACAGGATAACCTGAAATACTTTTAGGACCTTACATCCCCAAAATGAGTTTATATGGCTGAACTGTCTGGTTATGGAGATACTGCGAGTTTGATACTATCCGTGTAATATAAGCAGCATTAAATTTACACAACACCAGCGTCTTTTCCAGGAAAAATAGTTTTTTAATGTTAAACTTTTTTTAAAACATCAGTCGTTCTTGTATTTCTTTTTAAGCCACACTATCATAATTGCAATTTGGAATGATAAAAATAATTTGTTGCGACCATTTATATACCTAAACTGCTCAGAAGTGTTAAAAAATAGTGTTTGTTTTAATCTTGAAATTGTTATTGCCTTAATATGAAATAACTTGTTAAATGTTAATGTTAAAGGATTTTTTTTTTCCACAAAGGGCTCCTTCCAATTCTGCCTGTGTCCGCTCAGCATCTCTGCAGATGATGTATTGAGGAGCAGTCACTGAGAAGTACACCAAACTGCCTGAAAAGCAGTTTTCAGATGGTAGAGCGCAACACTTGGACAGAACAGACATCATCGATGCTCACTGCTGACTCTCGCTTCAAGTGTTCTCAGCTGGTCGGCTGATTCAGCTGATCCTGCACTCTTTGACCACCATAAAACTCATCTCTGTTTCATCTCCGTGCCACTGCTGCTGTTGCTTCTCTTGCTTCTCTTCCTTCCCTTGCTTCTGGCTCTCCTGCAGTTGTCGTTCCCTTTTGGTGGGAGTCAACTGACAACTGACTTACTCACGACCCCCACGGGTGCTTGGGTGTCCATAGGCTGCTCATTCTTTTGCCAGTAGCCACTGCAAAGTATCACGTGGAAAAGGAATCCTTAATGTGAGAAAAAACTGAGCTTTTGTCATGACCAACTGTGATGGAAATGTGCACAGCATCTTCACGTAGTTACACTGTTTAAAACGAGTGTCAATTATTGATTGATTTATTGAATGTATGCTTATTTTATTGGTTTTAAACTAAATGTGTTATATTTTTGCTGCCCTCTTGCTGGTTTTAATTACTATCCTGTTATTCTTTTAATTTTTAGGCTGTATCATTTTTATATCAAGTCCCTTTTTTTAATGGTTTCATGCACTTGATGATTTCTGTTTCTGTGAAAGACTTGGTTGTTTTATCAACAATAATGCATATGTTGTTTTAAATAAATATTAAAATAAACTAAATATTTATTACATACACAACATAGTTGTTAAACCTTATCCAAACTAAATGTTTCAGTTTAAGAAATTTTACGAGGAAATAATGAGCCTGAACAAATAACAGTTTAATATCTTCCCTTATAATTACCCTTTATTATCCTCTACAGTGAGGCATTTAGTAAAAATTCCATCTGATTTACTAGTATTTATATACACACATACTGTATATCGATACACAGGAGGGTGTATGGTGTCACATCGCCTTCAGGTATTGGTTTCTATGACAAGAAACATTCACAAAGTGATCCAGTTATTATTTGAAAGACAGTGTTTAACAAAATTATTAGACCAAAAACTTGTTTAAAAAATCATATTTTTATTTATTAGGCAGAATTAAAACCTGAAATCAGGTTTTCAGAAACCCCTAAAACTGCTTTTTCTGTTCAGAAATGAAAATAAATAAATATAATTTGGCATCTTAATCTAAAACTAAAAACATTTTGTCAAATAGTCAATTTGAAAATTCATGGATAACAACAATAGTTACATTTTAGCACTCAAAACATTCTTTGATTAAAGAGCTGGCACATACTCGTGGATTAACCATTACAGAAACATTCCAACAAGTCATTTTAGTAATTTCTAATACTAATAGATGCTATGATTTTTAATATTAGCAGTTAGATATGCTTGCCTGCGAAGTCATTTCAGCCTGTCATTGCCATTATGTAATTGAGCTCACAAAACATCCTACCATGCTTTGGTACAATAGCACAGTGAATATGATCGTTTAATAAAATTGTACTTAATTTGTCCCCTGCTATCGTCCAAAATCAGACCTCATGTGTCACCTCTGACTGCTGCAGTAGGCCCTTCTAGGGTGACACAGGCTCCAGTGTAACACCCAGAACCCTTTCATGTCCTAGCTGTCAGGCTGGTGAGAAAAGTGTGGGATGTGTTTCCTGTTTTGGCACCTTTGGATGGCTTCAGTATCAGACTGAAGCCTAGTCCCAAGCACCTCGAGGCAACTGTTGTGGTAATTTGGTGCCATATAAATAAAACTGACTTGAATTGAATTACTTAGGGTGCCACATTAATAACAAGCTTTTTTCTCTGTGTTGGTGAAATGAAATGAAAACTCTTTGCTGTTTTCTAACCAAACACCAAACAATAAAGACGCTGACGTCACCAACTGCTGCATTTCCTCACTCCTAAATCTCACATCCTCAGAGCATCCGTTTAAATCCTTCTGTCCTCTCCTTGAATCATGTGGGCGAGTTTCTTTCACCTCTCCATCACCTGTTCTCTCTTTCAGCATAAATGCTGCTGACCTTTGACCTTTCTGCTCCATTGCTTCGCCACACGGACCGGGCTTCCTTTGGCAGCTGTGTCAACCTCGATGCTGGCAACTGCTGTGCCCAGGGAAGGACAGAGAGCGCCATTAATATCAGACCACGTAATGAGTCAGCAGCACAGTACCGTCTTACCATTGTCAGGATTAAGCAGCTCACTATTGCTTTTTCAACTAGGCCAGCTCCTAATTTTTTTAGTGTGCCTTTAGAATACATTAAAAAATGTGTGTGAATTTTTTAGACACTTTAAGCTATTATCTGTTGCCATGATGCCAATTTTACAATCTCAAATCCCAGTTTTAGTCTTACTTCTAAGTTATTTGTTGTTAAGTTATTAAGTTATTTATTAA